GCATTTCAGTAACCTGGTCTGTTAATAGTGTGTCAAATTCTGCTTGCAGAGTTAAACGTTCCTTATAAATATCCGGGGATGGTGAAACGGCATAAATGTCATCTAATTGGGCAATACAGCGTGTTAGCATAGATAACCTATTCCTTTTCAATTTGTTCTCATGTGCGGTGTAGGAGATAATTTCACCTCTGATATAAGCTTTCAAAGTTTCCCAGAGAGTAGACGCAGAGATGTTTGGGGTTCTATTTGTAATCATGAAAAAGTCGATTTGACTCAAGACAAAATTGACAAAGTGTTCATTACTGAGCAGTTGAGTTTTTAGTCGCCAAGGCGGTCGCTGATTGTCAACATTTTGAAAAGCTACTTCCATAGTAACAGGGGCGTGGTCAGATACAACAATTGGGTTATATGAACATGAAGATATGGAGTGGAGGAGCCGGTCATCAACAAGGAAGTAGTCTATGCGCGTAAAAGTGTGGTGAACCGATGAGAAAAAAAGAGTATGCTTTCCCAGCTGGATTAACCATTCTCCAAGGATCTGAGACTGCGAATTCAGACATAAAGGTTCGAACAACTCTAGCTGAGGTTGATAAGGTGGTAGGTTTAGTGGAGGATCGATCCAATTGTGGGTCTAACCAACAGTTAAAGTCACCTCCTAAAATCAACATATGGGTGGACATATCTGGGAGTGTAGAGAAAACCGATTTGAAAAAATCACCATTGTCCCAATTAGGAGCATAGATATTAACAAGAAGAACCTTTGTATTGAGCAGCCTACCACTGACAATTATATATCTACCATGGGGATCTGCGATCACCTTAGAACATGTAAAAGGTACCGATCTGTGAAGTAAAATAGCCACCCCTCTCGCCTTACTCTGAAATGAGGAATGGAACACCTGACCCACCCATCTGCACCTAAGACTTGAGTGTTGTGATACCTTCAGATGAGTTTCTTGGAGAAAGATGATGTGAGCTTTCAAATGATGAAGATGGTGTAGCACCTTACTACGTTTAACTGGGTTATTTATGCCCCTGCAGTTCCAAGTAAGAAAATTAAAGCCATTCCCTCCAGCAGTATGGGCTACACTAGGCTGAGTCATATCTTAAGAGAGAGAGAGGATGTGTAAAGGACAAGGTACAATGTAAACTGAAGATCTTAGTTGAACCTAAAAGCGCAAATGTAAAAAACAAAGACAAACGAAGAGGCACAAAAAACATATACAAACTATATACAAATAGAGAGTGAACAAACCCTTCCCTCACACCCGCCCTTGCCGAAGCATCTCCCCAAATGAGATGCAAGCAAAACCCTAAATACGAAGAAAGTTTAGAGCTAAGCATGATAACTCTTACTCTGTGCTACCTAAGATTAGTGACCATTTAACTAGAGTAAGCCAAACATGGATAGAATGGTCCCCAATAGAGTCTAAGGAAAACTATCCTCGATTAAGAGAGGTTTAACCTCGACGCAGATGGTAAATGATCAAACTGAAACAGCCATGCAGACCCCCAGATATTGGCATTAGAGGCGGCAAACCTGGGCTGGAAATAAAGAGATAAAAAAGAGAATGACATTCATATGTCGATGAACCCAGCAAAGATGGCTTCGTTAGTCACCCATTCGGCCTGCTAACTAGCCTGCTAGGAAGACCAGCCAGCCAACCATTTGTTACACACCATGCGGTACAACAGCCGCTTTCACGTTCTTGTTGATGAAATCTGCCGCTATAGCCGGGTCCTCGAATCTGTGCATGGAGCCGTCCGGTAAAGTCAGTCTCAAAACCGCAGGGTAGATGAGGCCGAACTTCACGCCCGGGCAGGCGTGTAGTTGGCGTTTCACAGCTCCAAAGCTAGCCCGCCTCTTAGCCACAGCTGTTGTGCAGTCCGCAAATATCGAGACTCTTTTACCCTTATGTAGAAGAGGGGATGCTTCTCCCGATCTTCTCAGTATGTCGTTGCGGACGTGAAAGAAATGCACCCTGATGACAAATGGTCGTGGGGGTTCTCCATCCCTGGGTCGGCTACGCAGAGTGCGGTGAGCCCGGTCTAGCAATGGCTTCTCCTCTAGCCCGAGCAGCTCCTGAAGTAGCTGGGCCATGTACTCCGTGGGCCTTGGGCCCTCCACTCCCTCCGGTATTCCCAGTAGACGAATGTTGTTCCTCCGCATTCTACTTTCCATATCTTCGCATCTATTATCGAGGAATGCCACCCTAGTTGTCAATGAGCCGACGTTAGCCTCTAGCTCGCTAATGCGAGTGCTGTGGTCTGTAGCACCTCGCTCCAAATCCGATAAAGTCACCCCATGTGCGTCGAGCTTATTCTGTATACTCTCGATAGATTTTTTAAGCTCGTCTTTGATCGTTGATATCTCTGACCTGAGATTGGTAGAGAGACAGTCAATTTTTCCGAAAATGTCGGTTTTGAGGGTGCCTATCACGGATTGCAGCATCTCCACAGTCAGTGTTTCCGTGGGGCCGGCATTGGCAGCGTTCGGTGGCGGGGGTGAGTCGGGAGAAGTTGCAGGCTTGTTGCGGCCTGCTCTTGCAGACTCTGTTTTTGGCCGGGTTGATGTCATTACGAATTTAAATTTATTAAACTTGAACTGAGTTGTTTATGGGTCTCTTCAGACGCCTGGGCAAACAGAAATGTATGCAATTTTGCAAAGTTAAATATATAAATTTGGTCACTAACTCAGGAGCGATAGGGAGACGCGTGCTACATCCTTGGCTTCCAACAGCGCCCCCCCTTCCAGAGATTTGAGACTGGGACGGAGGTTCACCTTCCAGCAGGACAAATGACCCTAAGCATACTGCTAAAGCAACACTCGAGTGGTTTAAGGGGAAACATTTAAATGTCTTGGAATGGCCTAGTCAAAGCCCAGACCTCAATCCTATTGAGAATCTGTGGTATGACTTAAAGATTGCTGTACACCAGCGGAACCCATTCAACTGGTCCTCTGTAGCTCAGCTGATAGAGCACGGCGCTTGTAACGCCAAGGTAGTGGGTTCGAACCCCGGGACCCCCCATACACAAAAAAATTTATGCACGCATGACTGTAAGTCGCTTTGGATAAAAGCGTCTGCTAAATGGCATATTATTATTATTATTAACTTGAAGGAGCTGGAGCAGTTTTGCCTTGAAGAATGGGCAAAAATCCCAGTGGCTAGATGTGCCAAGAGACTTGCAGCTGTAATTGCTCTACAAAGTCTTGACTTTTTTTTGTCTTATTTCTTGTTTGTTTCACAATTACAAATATTTTGCAGCTTCAAAGTGGCAGGCATGTTGTGTAAATCAAATTATACAAACTCCCAAAAAAGCAATTTTAATTCCAGGTTGTAAGGCCACAAAATACAGTGGGGAAAAAAAGTATTTAGTCAGCCACCAATTGTGCAAGTTCTCCCACTTAAAAAGATGAGAGAGGCCTGTAATTTTCATCATAGGTACACGTCAACTATGACAGACAAATTGAGAAAAAAAAATCCAGAAAATCCCATTGTAGGATTTTTAATGAATTTATTTGCAAATTATGGTGGAAAATAAGTATTTGGTCACCTACAAACAAGCAAGATTTCTGGCTCTCACAGACCTGTAACTTCTTCTTTAAGAGGATCCTCTGTCCTCCACTCGTTACCTGTATTAATGGCACCTGTTTGAACTTATTATCAGTATAAAAGACACCTGTCCACAACCTCAAACAGTCACACTCCAAACTTTACAATGGCCAAGACCAAAGAGCTGTCAAAGGACACCAAAAACAAAATTGTAGACCTGCACCAGGCTGGGAAGACTGAATCTGCAATAGGTAAGCAGCTTGGTTTGAAGAAATCAACTGTGGGAGCAATTATTAGGAAATGGAAGACATACAAGACCACTGATAATCTCCCTCGATCTGGGGCTCCACGCAAGATCTCACCCCGTGGGGTCAAAATGATCACAAGAACGGTGAGCAAAAATCCCAGAACCACACGGGGGGACCTAGTGAATGACCTGCAGAGAGCTGGGACCAAAGTAACAAAGCCAACCATCAGTAACACACTACGCCGCCAGGGACTCAAATCCTGCAGTGCGAGACGTGTCCCCCTGCTTAAGCCAGTACATGTCCAGGCCCGTCTGAAGTGCATTTGGATGATCCAGAAGAGGATTGGGAGAATGTCATATGGTCAGATGAAACCAAAATATAACTTTTTGGTAAAAACTCAACTCGTCATGTTTGGAGGACAAAGAATGCTGAGTTGCATCCAAAGAACATCATACCTACTGTGAAGCATGGGGTTGGAAACATCATGCTTTGGGGCTGTTTTTCTGCAAAGGGACCAGGACGACTGATCCGTGTAAAGGAAAGAATGAATGGGGCCATGTATCGTGAGATTTTGAGTGAAACCCTCCTTCCATCAGCAAGGGCATTGAAGATGAAACGTGGCTGGGTCTTTCAGCATGACAATGATCCCAAACACACCGCCCGGGCAACGAAGGAGTGGCTTCGTAAGAAGCATTTCAAGGTCCTGGAGTGGCCTAGCCAGTCTCCAGATCTCAACCCCATAGAAAATCTTTGGAGGGAGTTGAAAGTCTGTGTTGCCCAGCGACAGCCCCAAAACATCACTGCTCTAGAGGAGATCTGCATGGAGGAATGGGCCAAAATAACAGCAACAGTGTGTGAAAACCTTGTGAAGACTTACAGAAAACGTTTGACCTGTGTCATTGCCAACAAAGGGTATATAACAAAGTATTGAGAAACTTTTGTTATTGACCAAATACTTATTTTCCACCATCATATGCCAATAAATTCATTAAAAATCCTACAATGTGATTTTCTGGATTTTCTTTTCTCATTTTGTCTGTCATAGTTGACGTGTACCTATGATGAAAATTACAGGCCTCTCTCATCTTTTTAAGTGGGAGAACTTGCACAATTGGTGGCTGACTAAATACTTTTTTTCCCCACTGTAGGAAAAATGCCAAGGGGGGGTGAATACTTTCGCAAGCCTCCATTTGATTTGGGACATCGTTTTTTCCCTCCTACCTGAACACGCAGCTGTCCTGTTTAGACTCACTCAGCCGGAGAGACTGGATGCCGCAGCAGTATCTATTCTCACACGTTCCACAGCACCACAGCAAACTGCAGTCCAGATTGGATTTGTAACGGCCGTAGGCATTTATGTAGGCTTCACAGTCCTCTCCAGCTGGGTAGAAAAGAAAAAAGACATTATAGGTCGGAGTTGGACACAGCTGGGTAGAAAACTCATGGTACTGACTTGTGTTCGAAAGACCGACAGCAAAGACAACAGCAACAACAATATCTACAGGTATAGAAACACATACAGTGGGGAGAACAAGTATTTGATACACTGCCGATTTTGCAGGTTTTCCTACTTACAAAGCATGTAGAGGTCTGTCATTTTTATCATAGGTACACTTCAACTGTGAGAGACCAGAAAATCCAGAAAATCACATTGTATGATTTTTAAGTAATTAATTTGCATTTTATTGCATTAAATAAGTATTTGATCACCTACCAACCAGTAAGAATTCCAGCTCTCACAGACCTGTTAGTTTTTGTTTAAGAAGCCCTCCTGTTCTCCACTCATTACCTGTATTAACTGCACCTGTTTGAACTCGTTACCTGTATAAAAGACACCTGTCCACACACTCAATCAAACCGACTCCAACCTCTCCACAATGGCCAAGACCAGAGAGCTGTGTAAGGACATCAGGGATAAAATTGTAGACCTGCACAAGGCTGGGATGGGCTACAGGACAATAGGCAAGCAGCTTGGTGAGAAGGCAACAACTGTTGGCGCAATTATTAGAAAATGGAAGAAGTTCAAGATGACGGTCAATCACCCTCGGTCTGGGGCTCCATGCAAGATCTCACCTCGTGTGGCATCAATGATCATGAGGAAGGTGAGGGATCAGCCCAGAACTACACGGCAGGACTGGTCAATGACCTGAAGAGAGCTGGGACCACAGTCTCAAAGAAAACCATTAGTAACACACTACGCCGTCATGGATTAAAATCATGCAGCGCATGCAAGGTCCCCCTGCTCAAGCCAGCGCATGTCCAGGCCCGTCTGAAGTTTGCCAATGACCATCTGTATGATCCAGAGGAGGAATGGGAGAAGGTCATGTGGTCTGCGTGGTGAAATGTTTCTATCCAGGCGGAGCGGTGCTCGGCCAATGGAAGCAAGCAGTGCTGTGTTTGTTGACCAATCACAGTAAAAAATGTAGCCCATGTGGTGATACATCAACACGTACCAACAGCAGGACCAGCTGACATGACCGCTCTATGTAGCTAGCTAGCTGGCTAACACTAGCAGTTTACAGAGTCACGTTTTACATAAAAAATAATTGTTTTCTAATCCATTTTTTGATTAATAATTTTTGTTGCATGTGTTACAGCGTAGATTTTTTTGCACTTCGATAATGTTTGTTTATTTCGTTGCTACAGTCACCGGCGGCCGTCGCATAGACTGGGCTGTCCCCTTGTGAGAGCCTATTTATGCTTGATCTGAAAATGTGGTTGAGGCACCTTCTTCTTCTTCAGTGGGATTTATCGGCGGTTGGCATCCAACGTTATGGTGCATTACCGCCACCTCCTGTACTGGAGTGTGGGCCAGAGACAGGGAGAAACTAAATCCTACCTGCCAACCCAGTTTCTCTTAAAAAATATAACAAAATATTTGAGACTATATCTAATGACGTTCTACTCAATATACTCTTTAAACTAACTTCCTGTATCCCCTTCTCCCTCATACTAGATCTCATCCTCTCGCTTTCACTCTGATACTGGGCCTCCCGTAGCTCAGTTGGTAGAGCATGGCGCTTGCAACGCCAGGGTTGTGGGTTCGATTCCCACGGGGGGCCAGTATGAAAAATGTATGCACTCACTGACTGTAAGTTGCTCTGGATAAGAGCGTCTGCTAAATGACTAAAATGTAAAAATGTACTGCCCACACTAGCAATACATGCTCCACGGTCTCTGTTTCCTGACAGTAATCACGCTTTCCTACCACATTTAATGTCTTATTCAACTGGCTGTGTCCCACCCTTCATCTTTTAAAAATAGCCTCCTCTCTTCTGTCCCTTCCTGCCGTCCTCCCCGACTTTCCTCTGTACTTGAAATAAATGCCTTCCCTTATTATCTCTATTCCAGTTGCTCCTGCCATCTCTGCACCATCAGGACTATGTATAGCTCCGTATTGACATGATTGGTTCACGGTAGGTGAAAGCGGGAGGTCCTGTATAAACACAAACTCACTTCCTTGACAACTTCCTGTAATGCACCCTAACGTTGGATGCCAACCTGCCGATAAACCCAACTGAAGAAGAAGAAGACAACTTCCTGTAATGCACCCTAACGTTGGATGCCAACCTGCCGATAAACCCCATTGAAGAAGAAGAAGAAGAAGACAACTTCCTGTAATGCACCCTAACGTTGGATGCCAACCTGCCGATAAACCCAACTGAAGAAGAAGAAGACAACTTCCTGTAATGCACCCTAACGTTGGATGCCAACCTGCCGATAAACCCCACTGAAGAAGAAGAAGACAACTTCCTGTAATGCACCCTAACGTTGGATGCCAACCTGCCGATAAACCCCACTGAAGAAGAAGAAAACTTCCTTCACAGCAGTTCTGCGCTGTTCGGCGGAGTATGACCGCCCTGACTTCAGCAGAGGCCATATCACCGTAAAGGTTGCACGGCCCAATGTAGACGTCAGATTGACCACCGACCGTCTTTTGAGTCGTGTGTGAAGCCACTATCCGCTTTAAGACAACGGCTGCGTTTGGCCGGGTACTTCGGCGATATTCCACTGGACGTCTGAAAAGCGCTTTAGTTCAAACATGCTAGAGTTCAAAGGCAAAGTCATGCCATAAATTATGGCTTAACTAGTCATAAAAAATGTAGCTAGCAACAGACATTAGCTAACTGACGTTAGCATGTTAGACAGACAGACTCGCCACACCTCAGACATTGAGCAATGCAAACGGAATATAATAATGTTCTTTCACTTAGCAAGCTTGTCTAGCTCTGAAAAAAAAATCGAACAATATCACAGACTGATATAAAGCTAAACAAAAATGTTTGTTCGTTGTAGATTTCCAAATTGCCAAACTCACCTGTCACGAACGGGATCAGAGTCCAACACAAAATGACAGCAACAAGACTTGACGCCATGGCTCCGTGAATTCAGATTCTAGCACGACCACGAGTGCGATAGTTACTTTCTATTTCCCTACCAAACTGCTAACCCAACTGGTGATGGGATATTGATACCGGAGCTCCGATGCAGTCAGTATTCACAGCATAATGATGCGCGTTTCAAACGAAGGTTATGGATATACTGACAAGATACTTGTCTCTCCGCCCTAACAATGGGAGTCGTTGTCCACAAAGCGGCACCGCAAACTGTCCAGCTCTCGCCGATTCCTCTTCTTTAAAGTTCTATGTAAGACTACACCTATTGGTGTATTTCCGCAACCTACAGTACGGGGTCTTCTTCCTTGATATTATGGTGGTCCGCAAACAAATGATATCGGTGCATGCCGCCACCTACTGTTTTGGCTGTATTTCAGTCCAAATATTGAACTAAATAAAAATAAACAAAAACAAAACTCAATGTACTCATTATTCCGATTCAACTGCCAACGCCCATCCCTACAGGCTCTGGTGGGGCCTGAGAAGGAAGAGCATCTTCGGACAGTATTCTTTGCAATGTTTCGGCAGTGAATTCCTGTAAAACCCAAAAACCTTTCAGCCGCAGATACTATAATGTCACGTTTCTTTGACTTTTTGTTTGTTTGTGCAGTACAATTAATTATACGCGCGACAACCACCATAAAAATCACCTTCTTCACAATCAGTTTCCCTCAACTGTTGAACAACACTGAATCTCCACAGTCTGCAGAGCATTCACAGCCATATCTTCAGCTCCCCTCGCTCCTTCAGCTATTTCACGTGCCTCCGTGTAGGAGACCTGCTGTACAGCCCTGACCCTTGCCACTTCATACTCCTTTACCCTAACCGGGAACTCCGGTGAATTGGGATCGTGGTTGCCATCACAATTACAACATCGTACACCCTCAGATCCTTCAACAACATTCCTTCTGCGCACACTTACATTTTACATTTTAGTCATTTAGCAGACGCTCTTATCCAGAGCGACTTACAGTTAGTGAGTGCATACATGTTTTCATACTGGCCCCCCGTGGGGAAACACTTGTCCAAACCTTTTGCAATTCCGGCAAAACAACGGCTTGGACATAAAAGCTCTCACCGCATATCTAACGTATCCCATCTTCACATGTGAAGGGAGATAGTCTTCGTCAAACATCAATAATACTGACAGGCTTTCTTATCCCCCCCCCCCCAAACAGTTCAGCCGGCGCGCTCAAACTACTCCTGGTACGCTCCCCGTAAACCACGAGGCCTCCACATCCAACGCAACACCTTTTAACTGTGCTCTGCTGCAAAAATCTAAACTCTCCACTTCATAAGTCAATAGTTTGTCGATCCTTAATGCCTTTTCCTTGTGCTCTTTCCACACACAAGAAATCAAAACAAAACCACTATTGGTCACTCTGACCGACTCCACCTTTCCCAATGCATCCCTTACCATCCTTTGATACTTCAAACAGATCCCCATAAAAGCATAATTGTTAGTGAACCTTACTCCAACCAGAAACCTATACTATAACAACTTTAACCCTTTTCCTTTATCACTGTCGTCCACTCGTCAGCCAAACTGCAAGGATCCACAATCTCCACCACTGGGCCAGAATCATCCTTTACATCCTCAGAGCGAGTCCTGAACTCTGCAGTCCTCACTGAGGGTACTTCATCCACGCTCTCTGCAGTCCTCACTGAGGGTACTTCATCCACGCTCCCTGCAGTCCTCACTGAGGGTACTTCATCCACGCTCCCTGCAGTCCTCACTGAGGGTACTTCATCCACGCTCCCTGCAGTCCTCACTGAGGGTACTTCATCCACGCTCCCTGCAGTCCTCACTGAGGGTACTTCATCCACGCTCCCTGCAGTCCTCACTGAGGGTACTTCATCCACGCTCCCGTCAGGTTCCATCTCTGAGCTACTAGAGCACGTATCCCTCTTTTTAACACTTGTCGCCAACCTTCCTCACCACCCCGCTTCCCTCTACACTCAACTCATTCTCGGCTGTCGTCACTACACCTGCCACCGCAATTGATTCACCCTCACTCTTGTCATGTTCAATTTCCTTCTCTAGCTCTTCCAGAAGTTCTGCGCAATCCTCCATTCCATATTCACTCAGGGCATATTTAACTTTTCTTCAAATAAAATGTTATTTGTCACATACATGTGTTTAGCAGATGTTATAGCGGGTGTAGCGAAATGCTTGTGCTTCTAGCTCCGACAGTGCAGTAATATCTAACAAGTAATATCTAACAATTTCACAACATATACCCAATACACACAAAACTAGTAAGGAATGGAATTTAAGAAAATATACATATATGGACAAGCAATGACAGAGCGGCATGGACTAAGATACAGTAGAATATTATAGAATAGAATGCAGTATATACATATGAGATGAGTAGTGCAAGATATGTAAACATTATTAGAGTGACTAGTGTTCCAGTGATGTCAACAGGCAGCAGCAGCCTCTAATGTTTCCGTTTCCCTTGTCCGCCATCTTCTCCTTCACCAGACGGTTTGTCCAATCCCCCACTCCATACTGTAACGACCCGGTACTGTGTTCTGTGTTCGTGGGTGTGTTATCGTTCTCATGGGTGCTAGCAGGGGTTAAATATGCCAGGACAGATGGAAAGGTTGCAGGGGTATGATGGGTAATCTCGTGGGGTTTTGAAATGCATAAATAGGGGTTACTGTCTCCTCTCTTCTATTCGGGACCCTGATCTGCCCCTTAACTTTACACTGTGTATTTGTGTACGTTCAGAATTTAGTGGCGTGGGCTGTGGCCTGAACAATAGCCCAGTTTAGGAATAAACCTGTGTTCTGCCCTGCACACCTGGTGTCCGTCTCTTTTTCCTTTACGACACAGCCCGGTCATTACAATATATTCCAGTTTCTTCCCTTTTTCCCTTTTCCTGCAAAGCAAAACTATTGTCTCTTTATGTCAGACTTTTGTCACATCCCCCTGCTCACTTCTTCTTCAGACCAGTAGTATCTCAAACTCTTCCTACAGCCAATCTCAGTTTGAGATTGAGACCCCGCCTTTTCCTTTATTTAATATTTTTTTTAAATATTCGATGAGGGTTGTTGACATCAACCACCTGTATTCAAGCCTCATACCACGAATTGCCATCTGGAGACAACTCCGAAATAACGGTGATGTCACGTGTCCTATTTATATCAGTACAGTCATAACAACCTAAGCATTACGTAACTTATATTCAATTAAATAAACCTCAATAAGCAATACATTTTTTGTTGTTGACCAAATTCGACCGCCTTACAAAAACTCCTTGCTTGGTGGGCGAAAAAACTAAAAAAAACGCCACCTGCTGGGAGACAGATTTTCCGCCGAGTTGCTACGTGAGTTGAGCATCTCTCTTCACCTCTTCCTCTCGGTTTCAACGTGATCAACGACGTCAGACGCTTCCTTTGATCACGTGGGAGATCCCACTAATCTTGCCGTGGTTCCGGTGCTTTCTTCGATTCCAAATTGCTTTCAAACACCGACCTCTCCCTAACTTGGCACCGTACTTAACAATGTAGATAAGTATGTTTTCATGTAGCGTCGCCTCACCTGAATGGTAGTTCAGCATCTAGAGTCGGGGACCAGAACACTCACAGGCGGCAGGGAATGGGGTTGAATCCAGGCGGAGGCATGTTATTTAGAAAATATTTGTGGCGCCACACTTTCTGCACATTGTTATTCAAACAATTCGGGTTTTTTTTTGTACAGTATAAGCTTCTATCCTTCTATGCCAAATATTCACCGTTTTTGACAGCAAAAAAAAAACAAAAAAAGGTTTCACAGCAAGAAAGAGAAGCATAATGGAAGGTGCCAACCTGTAACTAACTATTCATAGGCTAAGACTCGCGACTAACCACTGCCCAACGGAGGTTTGATATGTTGCGGAATAAACTAATATATGAACATCAAATGCTGCTTTTCAATGCTGACCAGCAGATGTCACCAATGTGCATTGTATTAAAAGCTCCAGGTAATTAACCGTTTTTCAGCTCAATTTGGTGAAAGCCCCAAATGCTTCAGAAAGCATCGGTTTCCCATCACTAAACCCAACAGATTATTTCCACGTTCCTCTATCTCAGATTGACAGATTGGTATGATCACGGGCCCGAGTCTCCTCAGCTGCACGCTGCCCACATGGTTCTGTTAAGAATTTGCATAAAGGGAAAGGTGACAGGTCAACAAATTAATCAATCAATTGAAGATCAATATATATATATATATATATATATATTTTATGGTCCGAAAACGCTATAAATAGGTAACACACTGTGTATCATAATATTGAAATAAAAAATGTGTCCTTCACATATAGCTAGAGGACTTCTAGATAAGTATCCATTTGTCAGGCATTGTCTAATGCTGCATTCACAACATCTCGTAATTTCATAAAATACCAGCATATGACTGGAAAATTCCACTTGAATGCCCTTTCTAACTGGTAATTACTAGTTGGACCTTCATCTGTCATCCTTGTGGTCCGAGTTTCAGGTTTTGACTAAAATAGTATACAGCTACAAATGGAAGTTACTTTTTCGTAGCAGGTTAGGAGAACTCTGCAGCAGGTTAGGAGCATTAACGTAGCAAGTTAGAAGAATTAGGTTAAGGTTAGGAAAAGGGTTAGCTAAAATGCTCTCCTAACCCGCTATGAAAAATCACTTGTCTGTAGCTGTACACCGTCTAGTCACAACTGTTTCCCACTTGCATCTCTCTGACGTCATTTGTCAGCAAAAATGACAGCAACGCTGTTATTATGTGCTATCGGAAACTCTAAACGTCAAGAGTTAAAATGAATGCAAGTTATTTGCGTAGCATCCTATTGGTTAATTCTAATACTTTCCAAGTGGGAAACTCGGGATCGTCTTTCTACAACGAGATAGCAAGTCAAAACTTTGTTGATACAAAATTGATTCTGGTCATCTTCCTTTTGATTTAGAAAGTGAAAGCAGCTCTTGATATACTTTTTATGGGCAAAAAAGTGCAAAACAATCACAAGCCTTTAATGACCTCCATGTTTAATGGTATTTCCCAGTTCAAAACGTGAATGCACCCAACTCGTGAATGCACCCAACTGGTATTTACGACTTCACAACGGGTAATTACCATCTTCCCACTTGGTTATGAATGCAGCATAAGTACTGTGTTTTGCTAGCTAGTGGCGCTTTCAAGACAACTCGGAAACTC